CCATATTAGAGCCTATTGTCTTTATTCTTTCTGATTTTGGTTTTGGGGTGGGTGGGTGTGTGTGTGTGTGTGTGTGTGTGTGTGTGTGTGTTTGTGTTACAGGGAATTGAACCCAGGGCCTTTGCACTAAGCTACATTCCCAGCCCTTAATTTTTATTTTGTTTTTATTTTGAGACAGGGTCTTACTAAGTCACTAAGTTGCCCAGGCTGTGATCGAACTTATGATCCTCCTCCCTCAGCCTCCCAGAGTGCTGAGATTACAAGCATGTGCTACCATGTCCCACAATTACTTTTTTTCTTTTTCTTTTTCTTGGTACCGGGGATCGAACTCAGAACCTTAGGCTTTCGAGACAGGTGCAGGCATCACTGAGCTAAATCCCTGCCCCCCCCCCGTTACTTTTAACAAGTCAATCACTTTTCAGAGTTACATGCTGAGGCAAGTTACACAAGGCCATTATTAACATTAGGTAGGCTTGGTTCAAATCAACTCCAAAATTCAGACAACTTGCTTAGATTAAGTGTTAACAGACTATTGTGCAGGTTCTAGGGTTAAAAGTGAGGAAGCACAGCTTATACAACATTGCTCAGTAGACAGGCAGCTTTGCAAGTATGCCCAAGTGTGTGTTAGATGTGTGTTGCTATGCTGGACCACATGATACAAATCAATTAGAAAATGAGGCACCATACCTTGAGATTTAGATAGAATTGGCACAAACCCTAGTTTACATGCAGTAGAAATAGAACATAATTCTTATCACTCTGAATATTCTAAGAGTATAATTTATGCATTTCTAGGTTACTTCTGGCTCCAAGCTTCTGTTCCTGCTGAATCATTTCATCTGTGGATTATTTTCTGGCCCAGCAAACAAGCCATATCTACACCATGTTACAAAAGAGAAAAGAAACTAGGCCCTTCCCTTGATGTGCTTCACAGAACATCACTGGCATAAGGCTTTTGTGAAAACAATGGAAGCTTACAAAGTTTGTAAGCAAGGGAAGGACACTATGTTTCATAATCACAGAGCAAAGAGTCATAAAACGTGAGTGTTTTAGCTGTTAATCTTAAAAACACTTTGATCAACTTCATTTATCACCTATTTCAGTCAAGCAAGAGGCACAGACATTCTGACTAATTTAAGCAGGAAAGGAACTTATTAAAACTTAGTAGATAGCTAGCTCACAAGGTGTCAAAAAGGATTGAACAGCCAGGCTGAAAGTATATGTCTCCCATAATGACACATGAAATCATACTGGAGAACTAGTCCAGAGGAGAAGTCTCTGCCACCATCACTGGGCACTGAATTGCCCAGTTTGTGAATCACAGTTTGCACAAATGACAGTTCAAGGTGATGTTGCTGTTGCTTCTGCTAAGGCCACTGTTCTCCAGAATGTATTCTCTGCCATCCCTGCTTAAGACATCATTGGTCTCCTGCTCAAAATTTAGGGTAAGTGCATTTCATTGGTCCTATGTAGGTCACATGCCCAGGCTCTAGCTGCAAGAGAGACTGGCAAAGTATTCTGTACTTGTAAGATTATTAAAAACAGGGAGGCAAACTGTTTATGACAAATTCTATTACAATCCTCTTTGAACGTTTCCATGCTTGTGAGCCATTTGGAGATCTCATTAAAATTCAAGTTTTGATTCAATAGGTCCGAAATAGGGACGGAAGATTCTAACTTACTCAGGTGATGTGAAGCTGCTGGTTTGAAGACCAGTTTGAGAAACAAGGATCTGTAGCACCAATTTTCAAACTTGTCTGCATAGAGTAACTTGAGACACATCATTTTTAAAAAATATTGATATCTGAGTCTTACCCTTAGCTGATTTACTTAGTCTAGAATAAGGCATGGGCATGTGAGTTTTTAAATTCTCCCCAAATAATTCAAAGATACTAGAATAGCACCTTTCACTATCGACTTCAATTTTTTGTCATTTTGCAAGGTTATTTCTATTCTCCAAATTCCAAGATTTCCACTTTCTCTGCCTTCCTTGATTTTTCCCTATAGCAAAATTCAATTACTCACATTTACTATGCAGAACAATTTGATGTTCAACCCCCTAGTCCCTGGAGGGCCTAACTTTGCATATCTAAAGACTAATTCTAGAGTTCTGCTAATCAGTTTCCTAAAAGTCTGTTACCTATTGCCCTGGGAGAGTGTGATTTAAAGTGATGCATGCACAATTTTTAAAAATTTCAATAGTTCAATGTTTATTGTAATGTGCAACACTAAAAAATGTTACAAGTATGATTGCTTAAGACAATAAGTTAATTTTAAATGGGTAAATATAATGGAGATTCAGGACAGATAAAACAAAATCACGAAAATGGTCTACAAATGAATGAAGTTCCAAAGAATTTTCATCTACAATGTAAAGATTTCATAAGGGTTCAAAATAATATCACCAGAATTTGAAAAATTTGTGATTTAAAGGAAAATAACTATAAGAATCACTTTTAGAATATGAAATAAAAATAGAATAAGTCCTTTAACCAGCTAATCTTTGAAAGAAAATTGGTGACTTTTTTACATTTGCTGAAAGTTAATACACAAGTACAGAGAACTCTAAAACTCTTAAAGAGAAATTTTTAGAACTCAACTAGTCACATTGCTGCAAAACCTCAGCAAACAAAAGAAAATTAGATCTTGACCAGCACTTAGACCGATGGCAAATTTCTCGGTAGCAATAGAAACCACAAGATAACAGAATATGCTCAATATCCTGAGAAGAGGGCCAGGGATTTAGCTCAGTGGCACCGCACCTACCTCGAAAGCACAAGGTCCGGAGTTCGATCCCCGGTACCAAAAAAAACCAAAAAAATCCTGAGAAGAGATCCTATAAACCTATAATTATATATCCAGTAGAATTATCTAGAAAATACAAGGGCAAAATTTCAAAACTTCAGGTAGGGAAAAAAAAACGTGGTGTTTACCACATCATGCTGTCATTCAGGAAAATTCTGAAATAACTTACTACAGGCTCAAGGAAAAAAAGCCCAGAAGGAAGATTTGAGAAATGCAAAAAAATGATAAGCAAAATGTTGTCATATGTGGGTGAGTCTAAAAAATATGATGCCTAAACATGATGACAGAATAAAACTAAAAGAATGAATAATATAAATGGGGAGGGCAAGTTAAAACGTCCTAAGACCTTTGCATTAATCAAGAAGAAAGTATTAGCTTTCTATCTTAAATTTACATGTAAAAGATAGTAAAATGTTCATTAAAAATACAAAATGTATTATTCCAAATAAGTTTTAAGGAAAAATAGTGTTAGAAAAGAAAACACAATCCAAAAGAAGCTTCATCTGTTAAGTTTTTGACTTTTCAACTTTTTTTGTTGCATGCTATTCTCAATTTATAGTGAATAGTCTTTCATAATTTGTATTTGTGTGTGTGTGTGTGTGTGTGTGTGTGTGTGTGTGTGTGAACTTATTTTTGAAGGTGTTTAGTTTTGGGGGTTTTTTGGTACCGGGGATCGAAATCCCCGGCCCTTCGTTTTGTTTTAATAAGAACTCCTTTCAGCCTAGGCTGGGGAAGCACGTTTCTCCAAGGTGGCATTCAAGGTACACTATGTCAGGATTTTTTTGAAGTAGCAAGGACAGTTTGATTCCTTCACCTTGAGATCCCAGTAACATGTAAGTGCTATAAATTTAAATGCCAAACTCATGAAATGCAGGCTTGGCATTTCAAAATGTAATGAGTTAAATGATTTTCTTTTTCCTTCTCATCCAAGTTTCCTTGTTATCCATGGGTGTTTTCCATTTTTCCTAGTCCACCCTTTCCCTTAGGATGATCCTTCCGGGACACTGGCTTTTTGCAGGGCACTCATTCTAGGTCCCATTCTGCCCTACTCCAAGCCTTTACCTGCCCTTATGTCTCTAGGCCTAGAGTTACAGAGATTAATGCCACCTTGCCCATCCTGAGGAATACCAACCACCCTGGTTTGTGACGTAGATCTTTTCCAGTGCTAAAACCAGGAAAGTCTTGGGCAAATTAGTATAACTGGTGACCCTATTCTCATTTTCCATTTCGTTTCATTTTTGGCACCCTAGGGTTTCCTTTCATTTCCTAGGGTTCAGCTATAGCACCATATTAAAAATAAAGTTATGATTTTGTACAGCATTACTAAAGGCTGCTGTAGTTTCCACGTTATAGAAGTTTACCATTTTATCAACTCAAAAAGATCATTTTAATACTTTTTGTCAGTTCAAAAGGGAAGTTTGAGAGTAGACAGGCATTTACCCCTACAGTTATAAGGTGCTGGAAGGATTTCCAAACTTTGTGTGACGAGCGCCATCAGCTGCCCCCCAGCTTGTCCCCGCTGTGGGCTCTAGTTCTCTGAGAATGTTCTAGAATTCTCCAGGCAGGCCTAGCTTTTTCCTATAAAGCCAACAAGAAAAACTCTCCCATTAAATTTAAACTCCGTTAAGGAAGACATGTTTTCTTGTGTGTTCACTGCTGGATGTGTCCTATCTGGTAATCGTAGGCATTCAATAACTTTCTTAAAAGAAGGAAAGTCCTGAAAGCCGATGGGCGGCTCGTCTGGCATTTCCTTCAATCCAACCTCATCTACCTCAAACTATGACAGAAAAGTGTCCAAGTGGCTGACCTATTGATAACTCCTCTATTTTCCATAGATTTGTTCTCATTTTTTGTTTCTGTAGACGTTTCATAGAATTTTGGCCAGGTAAATCGAAAAAATGTTGCGCATTCAAGACGCCATCTTGAAACTAGCATGTAGACAATTTTTTAATTTTAATATATATTTATGTACGCGCAATGGTGTCAGCGGGACTTCAACGGCATATCTGAGGCGATCCATGTCCATTGGTCTGTCTGTCCGACGACCACACATCCCACGGTGCCGGTAGCAGTCCCCTTGCACCCATGCGCACCCCTGCACACCCCGCCCCCACTGGCGCCCCCCCCATGTCGTCCCTGCCCCCCGCGGCAGGGGGGCTGCGCTGCCACCCATTGGCTGAGGCAGTGCCCATGCGCACTAGAGCCCCACCCAGGCGTCACCTCCCCTTCCCTGTGCCGCCCCCGTCAGTCCTTCCGTGCCCCTCAGCCTGGCTGCTCTCCTGCAGAGCCCCTCTGCCTCCCCGCGGCCTTCCCTTACCACTCGCCCGAGCCGCTCGACGGCCGGCCGAGGCGCAGCCTCTGCTTCTCCTGGAGCCGCCTTGGCGGGAACTGCAGGTGCCGCCATCATGGTAAGTTGAGGGAAAGGCCGAAGCGCCTCAAGGCCAGCTTCGCCTTTGAGGGCTGGTGAAATTGTGCTTTTGGGGTGTTGGGGGGGCAGGTAAAAGGGGAGCCGCCCCAGGTTTCATGTCCCAGGACGCCTTCCTATCAGGCCACCGGGGTGGTCTGCAGCAGCCTCGTGGCCTTTGAGGCACCTGCGCCCGTGGGAGATGGCGGGAAGGCTGGGGGTTGGTGCCTTCCTGGTCTCCGCGAGGCCCGGGCAGTGCTAAGTAGGCTCGGGCTCTCTGGGACTGCAGTTTGGGGCCGGGTAGCCGGCTCTCCCCGCCCCGCTCCCCCCCACCCTCAGCCGACCACCGTGGCGGTGGCGGTGGCAGCGGCAGCGTCCGGGAGGTGGCACCAACCCTGAGGCACGCGGGAACTGGTGGCCCAGCCGTGTGGGAGGAGCTGCGCAGCTACGAGGCGGTCTCCAGCTCGAGCGAGCCACCCACGGGCTGGCCCTCGAGCCTCCACAGGGGCAGGTGGCGCGACACAGGTTCCAGATCTTTCCTGTGGCCGTCTCTGTATCTTCAGAGTGGACCCACTAGTTGCTTCTGACAGCTGTAGATTTTTAACATAGGGAACACCCCCACCCCCCACCCCCCACCCCCGTTGAGAAACCAGAAATTTTAATGTACATTTTGTAAATGACGTTTGGAGTGTGCTTTATGCGAGCCTCTATAAATGCAGAGTCGGCTCTCTACACCACCATGCAAGATGCAATTCTAGGAACATATTACCCAACCATTAAGAAAAATGTGTGTGTACTGTGTATTATGTATAGACATATAATAATGGTTCTATTTTAGAGATGAAAGGAAATTTATACACAACGATTTAACAAATCTTAAAAATGTAGTTGAGCAAATTATTTGTAATACTTATTTGTAAGTTTCCCACATTGATATTTATTTACTAACCACAGTAGGGCCAGGGATTTAGCTCAGTGGCACCTTGGCTGCCTTGTAGGCACAAGGTCCTGAGTTCGATCCCCAGTACCTAAAAAAATAAATAACCATAGTAAATTATTATAAGTAGTAAATGGCTATTTTTTCTCCACTATTAGAGATAAAGTGATAAAGTGCTATTTTTTCTGAATAAAATCACATTTGCTCGTTTGAAAATAATCACAGTAAGAAAATCATCTTAATTAAAAAACTTGAAACTACTATTTTGATGTATGTATTTTGATGTATACATTTATTTATATGCTTGTATATAATAGGTAAATATTTTATAATAACTGTATCGTGCAACACTATTTTACAACCTGCATCTTTCAATTAATATAGTTTGGAATTATTCCTATGATAAATTTAAAGTAATTTTTAATGTATAATGTAAGGGTTATACCATTATCTATTTCATGCATTTATGATGATTTTTCTATATTAAAACAATATGGTAATGGATATCTTTCTGTAAATATCTTGATATGTTTTCCTATTAATTCCTTCAGATAAATTGCCAGAAATGGAATTGCTGGTTGTAAGAGCCATGCCCCTTTTATGACAATTTAAAAGAATTTTTTAAGCTACTCTTGATAAAGCATGTACCTTTTTATTTCCCCACTGGTGATGTATAGAGTGATCTTTTTTCCATTCCCTTCCCAATGAGAGGTGTTATAACTTGCTAATAATGCAAAACATTTCACTATATTGATGTGCCTTTTAAAAAATTAATTGAGGGGTGGTAGCACAAGCCTGTTATCTCAGCACTCTGGAGACTGAAGCAGAGTTTGATCGCTGCTTGTTTGAGGCTAGCCTGGGCTACATAGTGAGATCAAGGCCAGCCTAAACTACAAAGCGAGACCCTCCCTCAAAACACACACACACACACACACACACACACACACACACATTGAAGTTGAAATTTACCATTAATGTGTTTTAAATTTTTTTCATAAACTTTCTACTTGTATGTTTTTTATTAATTTATAGAAACTATGTTAATATTAGCCTTTTGTCATATATAGTGGAAAATTTTATGGTGGTGTTGAGATGTTGCCTTTACCTTAGTCCTAATTTCAGTGGAAACCACTCTAGTATTTTCACTTTAAGCTCCATAATGAAATAGAATTAGGTTGATAGAAAAATAAGATTCACTTGTTTGCTATTTTACTCAGCTCTTTAAAAGAATTAGAAAATGATCGCTGTATTTATCAAATGCATTTTCAGTGATGAATTAAAGTAATAGATTTCCTAAAAATGAACCATCCTTGCATTTCCAATATAAACTACTTAATTATGGAATTTTAGAAATAGGCTGCTGGAATTTTTCATCTTTGCAAATGGGCACGGGTGTACCATCTTGATGAGGCTGTAGATAGATGATGTTAGCTTTATAAAATGCATTAAATAGTACTAAAGGATTTTTAAGAAAAGTACAGTATTTGAATTTGCCTTTTTCTTCCCCTGCCTCTCTACCATTGTTTTTGATGTCTTGGGTGGTTCCTCTACCCTTGATGGTACGCATTGAGTATTTGTTATATTAAGATTGTTTTGTAAAAGATTTACCTTTATCTAGAAAATTAGTTATTTCATTTGAGATTTCCACACTTATTCTCATAGTTTAGATGGTTTTATAATCTATGGTCCTGTCCTCTTTTTCACATTTAATATGTAATTTTGCTTTCTTGCTTAGCTTTGCCTATTGCTTGGACACCTGCAACTCAAAAATTCACTCTTGGATTTACTTAGTTTTTATTCTGATTTTCATTTCCTGTTCCTTTAATTTAAGCCTTTTTATTCCTGCCTATTCCTTTGGACATAACTTAGATGACCACAAATCATACTTTTTCTTGGCTAATATGTCTCGATCTCAGTTTGCTTACCATGTAGACATACTTACTGAATTAAATAATACTTTCAACAGAGGTGGCATCCCAAGAACTTTAATAATGATAATTTTCTTCAGGTTTTAGTTATCTTTATCATTCGGATATCCAGATACAGGAATCTGTTACCGTAAGTAGCAGTGATAAAAATTGCTTTATGAGAGCTTCCAAGCTCATCCTTATTTACTATCCTAAAATTTCTCATTTCAAAGCCCACCAACTCATTTGAAGGTATAAATAATAAAAATAATTACATCTTACATTTAATATAGTTTATTTTCAATATGCTATTGTTTGGTGTTGGTTAAGATCATACTTCAGCATCAAACTTTTGCACGTCTTGAGCAAAAATGTCTGTAGAGTGTTTCTGATATAGTATGAAAGTAACAAAATGGTGTCTATTGATTATGGATGTTTTATATATAAATTATAGTTATAGGAATTTTTAAATCCCTATAGTTAAGTCCTGTTAAAATGGAGTACAGTGCTGTGCTTTGTTAGCTTTGAGCGCCACCTGCTGGCTAAAGACAAGGACATGGTGGTACCTTAATTTAAGATTACACTATTAAAGTGATCAAATCAATTTTATATTTACTATCTCAGTTAAGCAGAGAGCCAGTTTATAAGACCTGAGCCCAATCCAAACTTTATAGTCTTTTTCTCCCCCTAACCAAATTACTGTTGCCTCAGAGATCCATGTCATTTTTGTAAATAGAATATTAGAATTAGAAGATGTCTGAGATCTTTTCTAACTGCTTGTTTTTCAAGCAAGGAAACGGAGATCATGAACTGATTTATTTTACTGAACAGTGAAAAGCAAGGTCTTTCCAAGAAATAGTTTTTCTCTTCGACTCTGCTAGCACTATGACCAGATTTCTCAGCCACAACTGTATTCAAAGTTTGGGCCAGGCAATTCTTTGTTTTAGGGATTGTCCTTCATTTTGTGGGGTGTTTATTAGTATCCTGGCCTTCCATCCACCAGATGTGGGGAGTATACCTCAGTGTGACAACAAGAAATGTCTCCAAACATGTTAAATGTCTTCCCTGATTGCATCATCATAACCTTTTTGTAGCCTGGCACAGTTTCTGATCAGATGTTACACCTCTAAGATACATCCATTCATGGTGCAGAAACATAATACTGTAAATAGTTTATCAAATAAAAATGTATACAAAATTCATCCACAAATGAAGAAATGGATTGAGGAGAAATCTAGAATTTCAGAACTACTGTGTTATGTTTTGGATTTTTAATGAACTAATTGAGAAGGGATTGATAGTTTGTAGTGAAGGGAAATCTAGTTAGGTTCTCAATAGTCCAAGATATGTAGCTTATGTAATAAATTTTTATTTGGAAGAAATTAAAAGACTTTGAAAAGTGGAAAAACTAAGTAAGGTATGGTGCACATGCCTGTAACTCTAGCTACTGGGGAGGCTGAGGCAGGTGGATTACAAGTTTGAGGGCAGCCTAGGTAGCTTACTAAGACACAGTCTCAAAATTTTACAAGAGACTAGAGATGTTGCCCCGTGGTAGAGTACTTGCTTTAGCATTCCTGAACTCGGGTTCAATTCCGAGGACCACAAACGAAGAAAAATCCTGAGACTTGTGTGACTCTCTGCTGCTTCATTGTCATGAAATACCACTCTATCATAATTAAAGGAAAAAATTAAGTATTCAAATAAAAATACAAATTTTGAATTATGTGAGACTAATTTGGTGTTGCCCAAAAAGAAAAATGTTTACTTCAAAAGATGCTTTAAGCCCTGTAGCATTAGGGAAGATTATAACCCCATTTTGCAAGAGCTGTGATATGAGAGCAAATAATGTTTTCACATTCCATTTCTAAAGTAAAGCAAAGGAATATTAAAGTTGTAAATTTTACGGGTTTTTTGGTGACCAAAAAAAATAAGCAAAACAAATTGGTTTAAAACTTGGTTGTTTGGTTTTTGTTTTGTTTGTGGTAGTGGTACTGGGATCCAGAGTCTTCGTACTAAGCTGCATCCATGGTCCTTTTAAATTTATTTATTTATTTATTTATTTATTTATTTATTTATTTATTTATCTCAAGATGGTCTCACAAAGTTGCTGCATTGCCTAGGTTGGGCTCAAACTTGCCATTCTCTTACTTCAGCCTCCTGAGTACTGGGATCACAGGCATGTGCCACCATGTCTGGCTTGGTGCTTATTTTCTTTTGACACAGTTTGTTTGTTTTATTTTTAAGATTTACCGTGCTGGGCCGGGGATTTAGCTCAGTGGTTCCGCAGCCTGCCTAGCAAGCACAAAGTCCTGAGTTGGATCCCCAGTACCAGGAAAAAAAAGATTTACCATGCTTTTTATTAATGTGCTCGGCAAAATGAAAGTTTTATCAGTACAGGGCTGAATAATTTTTTTCAGAGCAGAATAACTTTAGTTTTTACAAATCTGAACTTTTGAAACCAATTTATGCAATATTTTTATAAAATATAAAATTAGTATTCTTCCACAGCATTGTACAAAAGATGGTGACAAGTAACAGCTGGTTTAGAAAAGTGTACTATATACTTCTGTTGAAATTTTACACCAGTCTCCTCTAAATCCTGAGCCTAAGCTAAACTGTATTGGTGACTAATTTACAATGCAGGTAATTTACATAAAATACTTTATACTTTAAATATAAAAATTATATTTCACATTGTGTGTGGTTTTTGTATATCTAATTATGGTGTCTGCTTTCCAAACTAGTCTTCTACAAATTCTGAGACTCCAAACTCAACCATCTCCAGAGAGGCCAGTACTCAGTCCTCATCAGCTTCCACCAGCCAAGGCTATGTTTTACCGGAAGGCAAAATCATGCCAAACACCATTTTTGTTGGAGGGATTGATATTAGGGTATTGTATTCATATTTTATTTACATTTTTAAAACACGTTGTGAATAATGGGATTTAGGCCCTGCCTATAGTAAACCTAAGGGTTTTTTTGTACTTCATGCAGGCTTGGACTTGGTTTTGTGTTTAACCCATAGAAACTGAAAATATTTGACAAAGAGCTATGGGGTTTCAGGGCACTTTGGGAAGATACTTCCTCACTATCAAATTTCCTTTTATAGATTTAAAATTTTTGAATATTTTAGTTTTTTAAAGTCCAGTTCTTTTCCATAGATGGATGAAAGTGAGATCAGAAGCTTCTTTGCTAGATATGGTTCAGTGAAAGAAGTGAAGATAATCACAGATCGAACTGGTGTATCCAAAGGGTGAGTAAAACATATGTTCCCTATAAATATTCAGAAATATCTGAACTCTAGCATCTGTAGAATGTGAAAAAACACAACTTCAAAACTGGTATTCTGAGCTGGGGATTTAGCTCAATATGCCTGCTGTGCAAGTGCAAGGACCCAAGTTCAATCCCAGGTACCAAAAAAAAAACTGGTATTCTGACACTTGAATAAATGAAATTTGTTGCTTTCTTAATTTCTTTCACATAAAGGATGAAAGTTCATTGTCAACTCTTTTACTTAAAATCATTTTCCTAGTGTTTGTATTTCCTATCTTCATTTCACACAAGTGAATTAATTGCTTTTATCAAAGAATTATTTTTGCATTTTTCACCATATCAGATTTTAACTATCTGCTCTTAGTAAATTAAATTCAGATTCATAGATAAGAATTTTTTGTTGATGAAGTTCCCACACTACCTTAATTTTAGTACATTCTGACATCAACCTAGTTAAAATAAAAAGCAATGATATGTACAGAGGATCTATTATATATACCTTACAAATATTCAGTATATTGTGCATTTTTATCACACTTTTATTCTGTAGAATATTTAATAGTTCTAAACCATGTTCTGTGTGGTGATTTTTTGTTTATCTGCTTGTCTAGCTATGGATTTGTTTCATTTTATAATGACGTGGATGTGCAGAAGATAGTAGAAGTAAGTAAGTCTTATGGAAAATTCTCTTAATGCACTGTTTAGTGTTGAATATATTCAGTCTTGTGTAAAATACAGAGAAAGATACTTTTGTTCCTGCTTGAAATAAAAACAGAATAATCTTATACAACTTGTCAGAACTTGTTTATTTTTGAGTGTCTGTCTTCATGACCTAGACACAAGTGAAGACAAAGTGGAAGGTTTTTTGGTCAAATGCCACTTAATACCTGTTAACACTTACATTAGAGTAGTGAGGATAAAGTGGCTTCACCCTGACAAATTTTCATTAGTTGTATGCTCATCACTGGTTTTTTCTGATAATAGGAACTTTAGACACTTTGAGATATTTACACAAGTCTTGGAAGTAAAGACTTGAAAATTATAGTGTTACTACTGTTTTGTTTTCAGTCACAGATAAATTTCCATGGTAAAAAGCTGAAACTGGGCCCTGCAATCAGGAAACAAAATTTATGTGAGTAAGAAAACAAATTGTTCTGCTGAAATATGTAGCTTTTCAAAAAACTAAAAATGGGCTTCATTTCCCTTTTTATTTTTAAAAAGGTGCTTATCATGTGCAGCCACGTTCTTTGATTTTTAATCCTCCTCCACCACCACAGTTTCAGAGTGTTTGGACTAATCCAAACACTGAAACTTATGTACAGCCTCCAACCGTGATGAGTCCTATAACTCAGTATGTTCAGGTAAGAATTGTTTGCATTCCTGTCCCTCATTTATTATAGATTTCTTAACCTTTAGAATTATATCCACAATTTTTATAATACGTGATAATACAGACTATGTTGGAATACTTTGAATAATGGGAAATCTGTTACTTTAGTTACAAATCTCTCATTCTTAGTGTTTCTCCTTAAACTGGTAAAACATGCTTTTATGTAGTTTGTAAGCCTTTATTCTTACCTCTGTAGCCACATAAAATAAATATTTTCTTTCCCCCATTTTGATGTTTCCTAAAATATTTGAAGGCAGGTTTTTTTTCTTTTTTATGTCTCCTCAGTTTATTCTCTGAGGTTATCAATTTTCTAGCCATTCCTTATTTCTGGATGCTTTGTCATATGAGTTGGTGACTTCTGGGTTTATTCTAGTTCTGGAATGGGTAGGTTTGTGATGTATTTTACTGTATCTATAAACTGAGTTTCTGATATGTAATTTGTCTTCTCCTAGTTAATATTTAAATTAGTTTAACTTACTATTGCCTATTAATGATAAATAACATTTATTTTCTTGTTAGTTCATTTTCCTTTCTTCAGTTTGAAAAACTTCCAGAAAAGAAACAAATAGTGAAATTCAGCACTATCTCTTAATTTGTTTAATTTTTCCATCTACCTGAAATAAGAGGTGTATCTATACTTTTCTTATTCTAAACATAATTAGAAAGGGCCTACTTGTTTCTGACATTTACTGTGAACTATTACAGATTTTAGGTACTCATGTATGCTGCTACTTATATGTTTTCAGGTTAATAAATACAGAAACATAAGACTTTGTAGTATTATCCAGTTCTGAATTTTTGGAAATGAAATGCAGAAAAACCCTTAAGATTGCAGGAGTACTACGAATTTCACATTAATACTGTCAAATGAATAAAAAACCGTCTAAAAGTATTTTCATAAAGAAATGACAGGTGTGTTTATTTGAATTATATAGAAATCTACCCTGTTCAAGCCTGATTGCCAGTGTAAGAATGAACTTTTGAGTAGGGATGAATATACTAATAAGGTAAATGGAACCTTGCAAAACCAGTCACTCTACCTTGTTATTTATCCCTTCTTTCTCCTTGCCCAAAAGGCATTGTTTTCTTCATAAAGCAAATCACCATTTAGAATCCTGCAATTATACACAGAAAAATAATATTTTTAAATTTCCGTGTTTCTGTTATAGTAGAAATAATGGTCTTTCTTTCTGATTTTTAAAATTTATCTTCTGTAAATTTTTTCTTTAAACTTTGTTTTCAGGCATATCCTCCTTATCCAAATTCACCAGTTCAGGTCATCACTGGTTATCAACTACCTGTTTATAACTATCAGGTAATTTAAGGGGGAACAAAATGGCTTATACTGGAATAATTTTATGACCTTGAATTTATTTATATAATTTTCCCAAATAGTATGTTGTTTAAACTAGTAAGTGTGCCCAAAATTAAAGGAAAACAAGAATTGTGTAGAATTAAGACTTTTATTAATTCATACCAATTATTTAAAAATAATGGGATGATATTTGACTAGGAAAGAACTTTTTCTAGAACTGTTTTATAAGATTTGGTATCTCCTATTTTATTTCACATAATCTTCCATCATTGATGTCAAATAGCCAAAACATCCAGGCTGTCATAAAAAAATTTTAGGAGGATAGGCTGAAATAAATTTATTACCTAATTCTTAAAAGCCTAAAATTCTAATTATATTAGATATTGTTTATTTTTATTGGCAGCTACAAAATAGTTTTCTGATTTCTTCTCATAGATATGGCTATATTTGTGACCCATAACCATATCTGTGGCAGTAGTTTCAAAGTTTCACTGTCTTTTGAGTTTTCCTGAATGTTAGCTCTAGAAAACTGGGAAAAAGGTAGTTTATATATGGAAATAACAAAAAGAACCACAAGTATTACAGACATGAAGTATTTCTGTATTCTATGTTGTAATTTTTGCCATAAAAAATTAAAGGAGCCAGCGTGATAGATACTTTAATATTGTCTCTTGGTTTTGTAAAAATGGATAGGAATATTTGAATAAGTTTTGTGTCCTTTTTTTAAGATGCCACCACAATGGCCTGCTGGGGAACAAAGGAGTTACGTTATACCTCCGGTAAAATGAATTAACTAAATGTATATGTTTCTAGTCTTAATTTAAAAGTATATTCTTGTTTCTTATATATTTCTTGAACTTTTGCCATATCATGTATGTCTATAGATATTTTTAAATCCCCCTTTATAGCATTATACTTTATTAATTTTTTGTTAACATAATTACATACGCCATGGGAGAAATCCATAGTGCTTTTTCTCAGTTGGTTTCGTATGCTTCAGCAGTGGCTATTCTGTATATGATAAGTGCTTAGTTACTTATTGATAGACTGTATAATCCAAGAAAGGTAGTGTGAATATGGATTTAGAATTAGCATTCAGTAAAATCATAAAAAATCTGAAGAGAGACAAATGTTTCGCTGTTAATATTGTTAAATAAGAAAAGGCAGTACCACCTCTAAAACGTCTGAGCTTCTGTTTCCTTCTTTCATTGGGATTGGATATTTAAAGGATATAGTAAGTTAAAATTCTCAGGCACTCCCTTACTACATAGTAGTTTGTTTTTCTAGATTCTAATTCTTGATTATGTTGACACTTAAAAGACCTTTTAAAATGAAAGACTACATTTCAGCTATTCACTTTAAAACAATTTCTGAAATAATCTTTGAATATAAACTACATTAAAACTTACTATCAGCTCATCATTTTGAAGAATAAATTATATAGAAATGTACCTGTGTATCTTTTTAATTACACTTTTATCACTTTAAATATAGGCTTACACAACTGTTAACTACCACTATAATGAAGTTGATCCAGGAGCTGAGGTTTTGCCAAATGAATGCTCAGTTCACGAAGCTACTTCATCCTCTGGAAATGGCCCACAGAAGGCAAACATCTAATTTTGTTTACTGATAATTATATTTTATATTTATTTTTCAAATTTTAATAACTTTTAAAGAAGCAGGCATCTTTAGCCAGATTGAAAGATGGAAGTAATTAACTCACATTTAGTTGTTAATGTAAAGGCTAATGAGATTTTAGTGTATATGCTTGGTTTCTGATTCAGCAATCCTTTCTTCCAGTTTGTTTCTGATTTTTAAAAATCATACCTTAGTAGGGCCGGGGATTTAGCTCAGTGATCCCGGCGCCTACCTCACAAGCCCAAGGTCCCTAGTTTGATCCCTGGTACTAAAAAAAAAATCATACCTTAGTAAATATTGTAGCAGTATGATTTGACAGAATGCAACAGGAAGATTTCCATGAGATTACTCCTTGAAAGAATAATTAACATGACCACTGTTCACCTTGTCTTTCATAAACATTTACTTAGCTAAATAGTACTAGATAATACTTAAGGTATTCTTTCCATAACATGACAGGAGCTCTCAAGAGTGGTAGGGTCAGTGTTAATTGTTGAAATACTGAAGTAGACATAGTTGGGTTTTTTAATCATTAGAGTGGATTCCTATCATAACAATACTTTCACTCTGGAATGTTTTATATGATGAATGGGCAGATATGTGAACATACTTGATGTGCTGAATATATGCATAATACTGATCAGTTGTTTTTCAGTAGAAAAGATGTTGAGAACTATTGAACTACAGTCAAAAATTCTGATACACAATTTTTAAATTGGAAAATATTAAAATAGTTTATAGTAGAATTACCAAGTTTTGTCTTGAATATTTTTCTTGAAACTAATATTAGAGTTTCTGTTTCTTATCTAACAGGAGAAATTAAAGAATCTTAAGCAAGGGCCGGGGATTTAGCTCAGTGGTTCTGCCGCCTGCCTCACAAGCGCGAGGACCCAAGTTCGATCCCCGGTACCAAAAAAAAAAAAAGAGAATCTTAAGCAAAATATTACACTTTTTAATAAAATCAGCTTTTAAAATGAGTATTCTATCAGTAAGGTTATAAGACATTTCTTTAAAAATTTGGGAGAAAATTTACATACTAATATGTGGTAAGAATTTTCAATCATGGAAAAATTCTTTTAAAATAACTATATATTCACTAAATTTTTTTTAAGTCCTTCACCATGAATAAAAGAAGTCTTTACTATAAACTTTGGTTATTTCAGAAATCTGTGGACCGGAGCATTCAGACAGTGGTATCTTGTCTGTTTAATCCAGAGAATAGACTGAGAAATACTCTTGTTACTCAAGATGACTACTTCAAGGTATGAAAGGCACAGTATGAGAGATTTTTTTAAGTATACGTGTTAGCTTTGAAGTATCTTTTTTCTCCGTAGTATATGTATTTTGGGATTATGTAGAGCATTTGAAGTGTGGATATATGACTATAACACAGTAATCCACTGTGAGTGGGTTTTACCTAGCAGTGTTTTTGTAGTGCTCAAATCTTGAAGTGTAGTTTGTCTTTAGGAAAGAACATTGTAGCAAAACCCGATAATTTAAAGAGTTCGCAAAAGAGGACAGTTGAGGGAAAATACTGGCTTGATTAAATAAAAGAAAATTTTAGAAAGCAGAGATTAATATATGAATATTGGATTAACTAGGACAAAAGAAATGAACTACTTAAACAATAGAGAAAGAAGTGATAAAATTGAACCAGTTAAAAAGCTGAGTAGAAACAGTGGAAGTTGATTCATAGTTGAAGTGAGAGTATGAGTACATGAATTTAAGAAAGATCTGGTTTCTAATTCTGCTTCTAATTCTTCTGGTTTCTAATTCTGTCCACAAGGTGGACAGATCACTTAAATCTTATTTCCACAAGGTGGACAGATCACTTAAATCTTATTAAAACTCCAGTGTGTGTGTGTGTTTTGTGTGTATGTATGTATGTATTGGTGCTAGCAATTAAACTTAGGGCCACCTGCATGCTGAGCATGCATTCTACCAATGAGCTATACATCCATCCCTAAAACTCCAGTTTTTACAAGCCTAAACTGAAGGATCCACAAGAAGAATAAAGGTGTCTAGGGTCCAATGGGAAGGAATATTGTTTGGTAGGGGAAGACATTTTTTAATAGAATGGAACCTCCATACTCATTGTTAATCGGTTCCAGGAGGCACAACATGTACCAAAAATGACTACCAAACAAATTGTTTTGGGTGAAAAGGTTAATGAGTTATGAGGCATTTGATACTGACAAGTTCTAGCTTGCTTGTATAGTACCAAATGAGTAGTGGGACCAAATTTTTTAGTTAAAATGAGTCAAGTACCAAGGTATAATGTGTTAGTTTTACAGAAATATATAATTTGGATACCACACAGTTTACCCATTTAAATATTTTAATACACTTGATCTTAGCCAAAAGGCCAAGAAGCGATAAATATTTTAATATATTCACAGAATTGTGCAACCATGACTACTATCAAGTTTAGGAATCCCACACACAAACACAAAATAAGTCCCCTACCCATCAGCAGTTACTCCCTATTTTTCCCCAATCCCTCTGGCTTTATGCAGCTACTAACTTTCTTTTTCTAACCATTTTTCTATTATAGACATTTCATATAAATAGATTCATGTGGTATCTGGCCTTTTATGACTGTCCTTTTGCCACTAGCATAATATTTTCAAGGTTCATCAATGCTATAATGTGTCTATATTTCATTTATTTGTGAATACACCACATTTTTTATTCATCAATTGATATGTGGGTTGTTTGTACTTTTTGGTCATTATGAGTAATACTATGAATGTTCATGTATGAATTACTTCTATTTCTCTTGAATATATTCCTAGGAAAGGAATTGCTGGGTCATGTGGTAACTATGTTTAGCCTTTTGAGGAACTCCCAGGAGTTGTACAAAGTGTCTGGACCATTAACATTCAAAAGGAAGCTTTTAGCTATCACTTTGTGACTTAAAACAGGACAAGAATAGCTTTTTTTCTAGAGTGGGCACAGAGTGAAGCTTAAAGCTTTCTTCTTGGGCATATCAAGGGTATCTTAAAATGTAGAAAAGAAGAGCCATAGCAGGATTAAGTTCTACATCTTTGCAACAGGAAATAAACACATTCATTTAAAGTTGACATTTGTTCTTTCTTTGCTACATTCTACATACAGTACAATATAGGGAGAACTGGGGTTTATGACAGCTCACTTTGCCCAAAGTTACAAAGATTAAATAGGTACTACTTAAATGATTCGTTTCAAAGCAGAAAAGTCTGTACATTTGAATCGTTACCTGGTATGAAACAAAAGCCTGCCTTTGAACTCCAGAGTTTTCTGTTCTTCTGGGCTATAATTCAGAAATTGGCAGCCTACAGTTATCTGACATCTAGATCTCTTTTAACTAAATGTTTTAATTGAAATTGAATGTGTCCAGGTATTTGGATATATTTACTGTTTTCATGATAAAATCCACTCTTTGTTGTCTGAAGTCCAGCCCCTAATAATCTTACGTTTCCTACCCAACTTCTGAAAATACAAGTTTGTGGCCCCTTTTCTAGGCTTAGAAAAGTTAGAATATTACCCTGTTAGGTTACATGATTTAGAAAAGTCACCCTTTTTTGAGATATCTGTATCTAATCCCTAGGAAAAAGGCACCTTTAAGCTAATTGTTTAAAGAGGAAAATACCACTGTCATTATCTGTTTAGTTAGTCAGCCCCTTTCCTATATCTAAGGCCTTTTTATGTGCATCTCTGAAGACAGCATAGAGTCAAAGGAAATTTTTACACATACAGTTCTGTATTCTGTATCTATAGGTTCTGTATCCTCACATTCAATCAATTATAGATGGAAAAATATGTTTTTAAATAGTACTGAACATGTTGTGGGCCAGGGATTTAGCTCAGTGGTTCCGGCACCTGCCTTGCAAGCGCATGGTCCCGAGTTCAATCCCTGGTAACAAAAAAAAAAAAAAAGTACTGAACATGTACAGATTTTTTTCTTAACATTTTATTTCTTAAATAACATAGCATAACAAACAATTGCCTCAGCGTTTACATTGTGTTAGTTATTACAAGTAACCAAGAGATGGTTTAAAATATACCGGACAAGCTGGGGATGTACCTCAGTGGTAGAGTGCATACCTAGTATGTTTGTGACCCTGAATTCTATCCTAGCACCACAAAAATATATATATACAAGCTCTCACACAGGTTTTATGCAAATAACACATAATTTTATATAAGAGTCTTGAATATCCTTGGATTTTGGTATCCATGACAGTTCCTGTAACCAATCCTACCAAGAGAACACCTAATTTTTAAATGTCTCTCTTCATTTCCTAAGTAATAATGTATTTTCATAGGTTAAAGATATGCTTTCAAGTTACTCTAAATGTAGATCTTTTAGCCTACAACCATTGATTTCAGATTGGAGTGCTGTTCTCAAGCTATAATTTCTATCAGATCCAGTCCAATTACTAAAAACAATACTTTTAAGAGTTACATATATTTTCCACCACCTGTCAGTAGGGATACCATTGTCAAAATCATTAAGCAATACCTAATATGATACTGAACCTAAGTTTTCTATTTCTGAGTTTACTAGCCAGTCTTGATGTATTTGTTGTTGCAAAGTTCAGTATTGCTTCCCCAGAAGGATCACCTTTTTTTCTTATTATTTATAATATTTAAGCCTAAAATAAATGTGTTAGGTATTTTGTAACACTTTTAGGTCAATGATGAAGGGAAATTTTCAGTGAAATAATAAGACTTTCTGTTTTTTCTAGGATAAAAGAGTGCATCACTTCAGAAGAAGTCGCACAGTGCTTAAATCTGATCATCTCTGCTAACTTCCTAGTTTCAGGAAGTTGCTGGTTTTGAATATTAAGAAGCTACTGAAAGTTTTTCACTGCTATAGAAATTTAATTCTGAATTTTTTGACAAATCACATTCAGACAAGTTACATTAGATGTCTAGTTTTATTTAACGTTGAAACTGTTCGTCAGACGTTTATTTAGAAACTCGTTCTGTGTTCAATACATAGTTGAAAATAAAAAGTAATTGAAGTAAAAATATTTCAAATTAAAAAATAGTTGAAAGGAATAACTTAAGATTAAACTGTAAGGATTTTTTAAAATTGAAATAGGCATCTTCAGAGTTTAGAAGCTAATAGTTGGCTGGGGATTTAGCTTAGCAGCCTGCCTCACAAGTGCAAGGTCCCGAGTTCGATCTTTGGTTTAAAAAAAAAAAAAAAAAAAAAAGCTGATACTTATTTTCAAAAAATTGTTTTAAAAATCTGTTTTGAAAGGTCAGAATTTTGATAGTTTGAATACAAGTATTTCGCTTCAACAAGTACTTATAAACAGTACAGTATTTTCAGTATTGTGCTTTGCATTTATGATCTGTCTAAAAATTTACCACAAAAGCAGAATGTTTAAAACTTCATTTTTAATCAGTGGAACTCAATATATGGTTAGCTTTATTGATGTCTTTCTTATCTAAACCCAGTAAAGTAGATTCTAAACAAACAGTCCAATCAGTGGCTCTTACTACATTTATTGAACATATTTTATTCTTTATATGGGATCTACATATATATACACATGTATTTTATTTGGAATGATAATTAGGATAACTCAAATTCTGGGCCTAATTTTTTTTAAGAATCCAAGACAAACTAGTAGGTACATAAGCTTCTTATTTAACATTCTCCTTTTTTCTTTTAAATTTTTTCCTTACAATGCTAAATTCAATGGCTGTATCTTAAATTGTGCAAAATACTCGTATTAAAGAATGCTGAAATTTTTTTATGACTTAAAAGTTAATCAGTATCTGAAAGGAATTGTTTTTATAAAAACATTAAAAATATAATTTATTATAAGTAAATTTGCATTTTCTTAGGCTATTATATTTCCTTTTGTAAAGTAGCATGTATCCCAAAGAGTTAAAGTGTAGGTAATTTTGGCATTTCTAAACCATAAAGGAAGTTTTATAAGTGTATCCAAGAATATACTAGTCAAACTTAATAGTCTCTAGATTAGCTGGTTTCTTTATTGGACATCGTGACAGACAACTAGAGCATCAGAGCTGCTGTTGTATCCACAGGCTTGCTTTTCTAATCTGTATTCCATCCTTCCAAGAAGTTTGCTCCTAGAACTGGTGGCATGAGCAGTTTGAGGGCTAAGCCTTGGAGGGTAGCAGTGTGATAATACCTTCTAAGGGAAAAAGTTGTATTGTCATCATTTGACTTGCCATGGATGAATCTAAAGTGCCTTCCTGGTCTTTCTTCTAGATTGACTTCCTCCCTAAAATGTGGAGATCCCACTTACCTTAACCTGATGTAAACTACCATGGGCTGTGCCACCCGTGCCCATTATGGTCTATAATTCTTAATATTCATTCTGGATCTGAAAGACGGGATCTTTTAAGGGTTCCCCAAGAAGGTTTTATACACCTCAGAAAGTGCCCTGAAATTTGTCTTTTTAAAAGTTCTCTGCCAGTTTTTTTGAGGGGAGGAGGCTATCATATTCTTACATGTATTATTCTGTGATTAAATCTCCAGCTTACTATAAATGATACCTAAATTCCAAGGAGCCAATTCTTTTTGTTCCAATATGACCTTAATGAAAAGTAAGGAAACAAACTTTTATCTGTATATTTTGTTGAAGTGAGATTTTAAAAGTGTAAAGTAGAAAAAAAGAGACCTTTCAATATGGAAGATTAATTTTAAACTTAAAATAAGTTCCTGTTGTTGCTAATACTGACTTTGCATAAATGAATAAACAGACTTTTTTCAAAAGTATTTTTGACCTACTTGATGTCATTGTCTAAAGAAACAGTGGGTGATAGGGTAGTGTGGGACAAAGTTTAGATCCTTGAGATTTGAAAGTATAAATACTGCTCAGTTAAAAGAGCAGACTTAGCTTATAAAACCAAATGTTAGTACATTGTTTTCTCTTGCAAAAAGTGTCTGTATATATATACATGTGTGCATATATACGTATATACATGTTTTTATGGAACAATCCTATGTTGGGTTGGAAATGGTTAATAGTGGGTTCCACTATAGTACATGAACATAGAACCTAGTAAGAATGCTAGAGAGCACATCTGACTTAATTTCTGCTCATTTTGGACCTTATGAAGCATTTTGTCTGCTTCATACTTGGAGCATAATCTCTCTGACCCTTTTGTTTGGGGGTATTGTGGTTGTCCAGTAGAGCTTGGAGCTTTCATATTGGATTTACTTCATATAAGGGTGCATTCAAAATACCAATATTCACCACCTCTTCCAGTTGTAGTTCCAGTGGTCTTTTCTAACTGAGGCTGTGGGAAAAGAAATTCTCCCCTCTAGACATCACCAAACTCTATTTTCATCACTCTGTAAGCCCTTACTGATTCATTCATTATCAGAAGTTGGACTGTGATGCCAAGATTCTACCAGATAAAATAGTGGCTTCTGAATTGCCAGATTGTTTTGATGTTGATTGTATAATAACTCACTAAAAGTAATCTTTATATATACATGTGTATTATATATACTGTATTTGTATGTCCACATATGCATATTTTGATATTTAACATAATTTGAGACACCAAAATTAGACTACAAATGTCTTTTTAAAAACGTTTTAAACTGTTTTGAGCGTATTTGCTGTTGAGGATTACAACAAAATTCTCAGAACCAAGTCTGAGTTTAAAAATTTCATACAGCATCTTTTCATAGAAAAATTGGAGTTAAGCAAAATCAAAACTCAAGTTGATCTTTTAAAAAAGCATTTCTTTGTATTTGTTTTAACACTTCAAAATTGATGTCATCCTTATCACAAGAAAACCATTGCTTTCAAAAATACTCCACAGCAATGCTCTGTAAAGCCCCTCTAACCCACTTGAAAATCCTTTTGGTTTTCTGTAAACTTAAAAAACCAAGCTGCTCCAATGCTTAATCACCTGCTTGCTGTCCTTGCTGTTGTTTCAGAGTAATGAGGAGCAGTGACAAGATAGGATACTATTCTACTTTCACAAAGATGGCAATAGAGAGGGTTGGGGAACCAAAGGGGTGTGAACATGGCAATATTTTCTATTGACCAAGTCTTGGAAATAGGGCCAGCTGTTGAAGTATAATAATTTGGAATCCCTGAAACACTTCTTTTAGATGAGGATTGCTCCTCTACATAGTTTGATAACTGTAATCTAGTCCTTCCCAACATTATGTGTAATATGTCTCTCTGTGTGTGTAACTGATACTTTTGAGCAATTCCTCACCACCCATCAAAGACTGAGTTTGCCATCTGTAGGCAGTACATTTGGTGGTAGAAAACAATAAGCATAAGAAGTTCAGACTATAAACATGTGTTTTTGAATGCTCATGCAAAATATTCAATCTGCATAGCAGAGAAATGATAGGTAGTTCTGCATTGCATTTAGAGTTAAACATCTGTCCAATATGGCTATAGCTATAGGCCAATTCCAAGAATGCAAAATAATTCTCTCCTGGTACAGAAGTTGAAACTACCACTGTACAATTAAGCTATATGGTAGCTATATTTCACATTTTTAAGTGGTCTGAAACAAAGTTTTCTAGTTGAGTCTCTAGTTCATTTTCCCAAGGCAAGACTTTGTGTCTTATGTGCACCTCTATTAAGGCTGCATGCCAAGAATGTGCTTCTTCCCACAAATAGAACTCCCAAATACCAGTTCAATAGGTCTTTAACAGTAGAATAAATGCTTACACGACTGGGATATTCAGGTCATGAAACATCAGAAACTTGTGAAGTTACAGTAACATTTCAAGCAGTTCAGAAAGTTAGAGGCTTTATAATCCTTAATTGGCTCTATTACACAGCAAATCTAGCAAAATACATTAAGGCTGTAATCACATCTTTTGTCTTTCCCCAAAATAAATACAGTATTTTGGCTCAATCTTGGTTGAAATATTTATTATAGAAGAAAGCTGACAATTGATCTTTACCAATACTGTCAGGCCAGCTGTTTACAATGAACATGTCCCCTCAGCACTTGTACATGTATTAAACATTTTTGACGTTGCTCCCAATAATTACATGACTGAGCCAGTGAGAATGGAGCGAGGTAATTTAAAATAGAAGCCATTTTCCCTTCATCTCCACTTGTTAATCCCACCACCTAGTGTGTGAGTTGCTTTAAGTAAAATCTGAACAGTTTTTCAAAAGTAAACTTGTGAGAAAATTTTAACTGCCCTTTTTTCTGACTTGATTGCTGCTTTATTTGGACTGTTGGTATGTATGTCTTGGTCAAAATAAAAACATACTATCCAAGATTATATCCATGATTAGTTCAGACCAGTATTTGATAAGCAAATTTCCCCAGTGATACTAATCTCATGGAAGAGTCAGAAAGTATTGGAACCACCATTAGAGATGCTTTCAGAAATGCAGGATCCTGAACCCCATTCTCAGAAAATTCTGCTCTTAATGGTCTGGTGGGCCTACACACCTGCACTTTGAATAAGTGTCCCAAGTGAGTCTCATCTGTGCAACGTGCACTTTGAGAGATACTGCCCTGAATGAGGATCTCTCAGTATTATCTCAGGCTATCTTTGGTTTTAGGGTAGCTGGATTTGGAGGACACATCTGTCAAATTCATTAAGATTTATAAGGCATTCTGTTCTTAATTCATGTTCCCCTGCCAAGCTTAGGCCCAGCCATGCCAGTTGTACATAGGAAAGGATGACTCATGAACAAGATAAAAAGTGAGCTGAGTAAAGTCTGAAAACCAAGACTTAGTGGCCTAAGATGAATGGTAGCAGGAAGTAGATTGCAGAGGCAAAGCTGGGTTCCGAGTCTACTGTGGGTGTGTCAAGAGTGAGGATTAGGCTCACGGGAGGGGACAGAGTGGGTGTTATATAGGTAAAGACAGCACAATTGTCACCTAAAAAAGAAGACCCAAGTCATTGGCTCAGTTGGAAAAATGTTTAAATGGTATTACTGATGATTTTTGAACAGTGTGGCCTGACATTGTTCTTAGAATTAACTAATTTAACCTTAACAATTACAAGGAAAAATAACAAATGTGTTGATGGATCAAGTTCTAGACATAGTATTGGGCATTTGATACCTACATTGTTTTTGTATGTGTGTGTGTGTGTGTGTGTTTAATTGATGTGTAATTCACAAAAATTTATATAAAACTTAATACCTTTACAGAATAATTAACTCAAGTTCACGTAATATTCTGTTAATTAGAAATTATCTATGTGCCCTCCTTTATCACATCCTTTTCCCTGCTGACAGGAGGTATTCCACTGAATTTAATTTTGTTTTAGTTTGATAAGTAAATAATTTTTGTACTTGGTTTTGAACTTTAAAAACTTACACTGAATCTGGCATTTTTTGTCTGCACATTGTGAGACTCATCCATGTTGATTAGAGACTTCACTGCTCTAGTTTTTCTTGTTGAGAGACAATTGAGACTTATTTTGTATTTTTAAGTTTTAAATGTCTATTGATAGGTTGATTGCTATTAATACGCTGCTATGCTGCTTCTGATCACTTTAGAACCCATCTTGGGATACATAATAGAATGTCATGAAAAAAATGTGAACTTTGAAGTACTAGCCCCAGTGACTTCCCAAGTAAGCTAGAAAGCTTGGACAAGCTTCTCTTTGAGCTTCAGTTTCTTCCTCTGTAAAACATTCTCATGTCTATTTTATAGAGGCATTGTGAGTTTAGACTGAACAACCTATCAGTGTGATTAGTTTCCCATCTATAATTCTACCTGCTTGTCTCTCACTCAAGACCACAGAGGCTGCTTCTAGCTTTTATATTTCAGTGACCAAAAATTCACAAATGTTCCATGTACAGACTAGTTACAGTTTAACAAATAAGTGCTATGCTGTATTCTGAGATGAATTAATTTTTGTACCTTCTTTGCCAGCAGAAGCCAGTTCACTATGCTAGCATCTTTAGGATATATTCTAAAATGAATTATTGTTCTAGGAGGACCTTGAAAACCCAACGATACAGCACTTTATAAAGAAAAGATCTGATGCTGTTTGGAATGTGTTGAATAGTTTTCTTTCTTTTGTAGAATCTTCAACAAAAATAATTTGTTGAGGTGACATTCACATAACAGAAAATGAACTATTTTAAGTGCCAGTTCACAATATTATGCAACCACCACTTCTCTCTAGTTCTAATAATTATATCATTCGAAAGAAAAATCTCTTACACATTAAGCAATCTATTCCCATCTTCTTAGCCCTGTCCCTGGTTACCACTAGCAGACATTCTGCCTCTGGGTTTATCCTGAATATCCATATAAATGAGTCTTACAGTCTGTGACCTTTTGCTTCCTTTCACTTAGCATGTTTTGTTCATTTAGCGTAGTAGCATATATCAATACTTTGTTACTTTATAAGACTGAATAATATTCCATTGTATAGATAATATCACATTTTGTTTATTCATTTATTTGTTGGTGGACATTTGGTCTGTTTCCACCTTTTGACTATCGTGTATGGTGCTAAGCATATGTGTACAGACACTTCTTTGAATTCCTCTTTTCAATTCTTTGGTTAAATACCTATGAATGTAACACCAGGGTCATATGGTAATTCTATGCTTAATCATTTGAAGGACTTACAAACTTTTCCATAGCAGCTGAACTATATTACATTCACAATAGCAATGTACGAGTTCCAATTTCTCACCAACACTTGTTATTTTTCTTTTTTGATAAACATCCTGGTAGGGATGAAGGAATACTTCATTGTGTTTTTGATTTGCATTTCCCTAGTGTTAAGCATCTTTTTTTTTTTTTTTT